CCGATGCGGGACTCGATCCCAGGACTCTGGGATCATGACCTGAGCTGAAGGCAGTCGCTTAACCAACTGAGCCACCCAGGCGCCCAATTGTTTTGAGTTTCATGAGTACCCAGAGATTAGCAGAGTAGAGTTGATAACCAGGGAACATCCTGGAAAGTACAATTTAAAATAGCATGTAAGTCTAACATAATTGTGTTGAGGTTAGAAGATACCTTAGAGAAGAAAAAAAAAAAGATTTTTATATCTTCTTAAGGAATACATATAAATGGAACTTTTTTCAAATTTCTTCCAAATTTCTTAGAAACACTATAGAAATAGATTAGTTTGTATCTGCTTGGGTGGATATATTAAAATTATTTAGTTTGCCCTGAAAAGGGGTTTATAAAAGTAATACATTTTTTATATTCCTAGTCATTCTTAACCCACATGTGGTAGAGTTAGTAATGTAATGATAACTATTTTTAAATTTTTTGGAAATAGTAGTGGTAAGAACAGTTCTAGGTTGAGCCAGAAATGACCTTGTATAATTCTTATAATTAAGGTTATACTTACTCTTGAATTTGGCCTAATCAAGACTACCCACAAGCCTTGACCTTTTTTATTCTTAATAAAATTTATGTTGATGTTGAATCCATTTTCTATTTTATGTCAAATACATAAAAATAGATAAGAGCATTTGACCTATTTGTTTATGGCAGTTTTACTTAGGTATAACATGATTATTTAAATCTTGAAAGGAGATTGTTTTTGAAAATAAAATTCCTTTTTAAAGAGTATATTGAGGGCGCCTGGGTGGCTCAGTTGGTTAAGCGACTGCCTTCGGCTCAGGTCACGATCCCGGAATCCTGGGATCGAGTCCCACATCGGGCTCCCGGCTCAGCGGGGAGCTTGCTTCTCCCTCTGACCCTATCCCCTCTCATGCTGTTTCTCTCTCTCTCTCTCTCTCTCTCAAATAAAAAAAAAAAAAAAAAAAAAAAAGAGTATATTGAAATTACATAATTTTTATATAAAATTTCCTCTTTTACAGTGTGAAAGCTTATAGGAAAAACGTTTTGGCAAAATGTGTACGTATCTGCCTGTATTCTACTTTTTATTAATATATCTGTTTTCATGAGTGTAAAATCAGAGGGGGGTATATATTGGCTTCCATTGTTTTTACAATAACCATTTCATCTCCAGTTTTCTTTTTAAATAGGTAAATCTCAGCTTGACTGTTAATATATTCATTTTGATAACATTCTTATTTTTGTATCTTATTTATAAAAATTTCCTTATATGAAGTACTACCCAATAAATTATTTTTGTAATAGTTATGATCAGGATAACATGTTTTATTGATCTAATTTATAAGGAGAAATTTTGAAGACAATGACTGTGTCTTAGAGTGGGAAGAGTATGGCAATTTGAAATCCACCTCTCCTACATTGCTTTGCCATTTGTGGTCCCTTCTATTAAAATTTTTTTTTTTTTTTTAAAGATTTTATCTATTTGACAGCGAGAGACACAGCAAGAGAGGGAACACAAGCAGGGGGAATGGGAGAGGGAGAAGCAGGCTTCCTGCTGAGCAGGGAGCCTGATGCGGGGCTCGATCCCAGGACCCTGGGATCATGACGTGAGCCGAAGGCAGACGCTTAACAACTGAGCCATCCAGGCGCCCCCCCCCATTAAAATTTCTTAACTCAGTTATGAAAAGTAAATGGTGAATGCTTTTTCTAAATCCTTAGTGTCAGGACTGGCACACTTACGCCTATATGAATTTATTAGACGGCTATATGATCCAGAATTTTAAGACTTGAATCAGTAAGATGATTGATAATTCTTGACATGCATAATATAATATTGGGTTTCCTTGGTAATCTTCATCCCCATCCAAAAAATAAATAAAGCCTTTATCGTTCTTCGAAGATGTTAAATTATGATCTGCTGTGAAGGTGATAGAAAGGTAACTTTGCAGATGTCTACCTCATGGGTAATAATTGTAAGGTTATTATAACTGTATTGATGTCTGTATGCAATTGTATGATTTTCTGTGGAGTGATTTGGACTTCCAATTTTTAAAAATATTTTTCAGTATGGTGGTGATATTACCCGAAAAATGAAACTTTTGAAGAGACAAGCAGAAGGAAAGAAAAAACTGAGGAAAATTGGCAACATTGAAGTTCCAAAAGATGCTTTTATAAAAGTTCTAAGAACACAACCTGATAAGTAATTGGTGGAAAAAAATACAATGAGTTTTCATAAATTAAAACTTGTGTATCTTTTAATTTTTCATAGCAATTTATATGTTGACAACAGAATTAAAATTATTAAAATTTGCTTGTTACTTTCAGGGTTTTTAGGTTTAAATAACCTATTAGCTCTTCTTTGAAAAGTAAGGAGTGGGCAGGTAAGAGCTTGGACTCTGAAGCCATATTGTCTGGTTTCAAATTTCTGTTCTACCACTCACTAGCAAGGTAAATTATTACTTAACCTCTCTGTTTACTCTTTAGTGAAGTCAGGATTATACTGTTATTTACCTCCATAGGTTGTTGTGAAGATTGTATCAGATAGTATGTTTAAAATACTCAGAAGAGGGGCGCCTGGGTGGCTCAGTTGGTTAAGCGACTGCCTTCGGCTCAGGTCATGATCCTGGAGTCCCGGGATCGAGTCCCGCATCGGGCTCCCTGCTCG